TGGTGCTCGCCGCAGCCGGCAGCCGCAGCGACCCGATTCCAGTCGACCCTGCAAACCACGGCTGGGGGCGCTGGGCGCTCGACGTGCTGCAAGGGTTGGGCCTCACCAGCGCCGCGCCCGGCGCGGCCGACGCGGCGGCCGGGACGCCGCCGGCGCCGGTACACATGGGCATGTCGTTCGGGGGCGCTGTCACGCTCGACCTGATGGCTGTGGCGCCGCACGCGGTCGGCGCCGCGGCGCTGATCGTGCCCATATCGGTGCACCCCGGTGAGCCCGCTGCGACGGTGGCCTGCGTCCATCCCAGCCGGGCCCCGGCGCACCCTGGGACACCTTGGCCGCGCGCTGCCTGCGCCCCGCCGCCGCACACTGCTTTCGTCTCTCGCGGTGACGCGAGCCGGGTGTCTCCCACCTTCCAGCCGCCGCTGTGGGCGGGTGTGGCTCCTCGAGCACTCTTGGAGTGCAACTGGATGCTCCAGCGCCGCTTTCTGAGGAGGCCAATGCGACAGTCTGTCGGCCGCCAGGCCTCGTCCATGTTTCAGTTGCACGCCCCGCGTTCCCCCTGTACCGCAGAGTTTGGGTCCACCAAAGCAACCCTAAAGATGATCTGGCAGGTCGGCGCCCCGCTGCGGCTGCCTGCCCGCCTGCCCGCATGCTGCCGCGGTCTCTGGGGCATCCAAACTGTTGCAATATCTTGGGTCATCATGGACGAGGGCAGCCATCAGCTGCCCACAGCACTGAGCCTGATTGCTTAGCTCTCAGCCGCCCTGCAGGTCTTGGGGTGTGGTGTCGTTTTGAACCCTGTTTCCCTGACCCGCCCCGCCCCTCCGCCCTCCCCTCATTCGCTGTCCAATGATTTCACCGGTATGTCACCAGGTGTTGCTGCCCATCCTGCTGTACATGGCCTGGCCTTGCATGCTGACTCAGCGCTGGGCCTGCGACCGGCTCATGGGCGACTGGCGGGTGCTGCCAAAGCAGGTTGGCTTGTCGCCTGCCGTGAACACGTTTGCGCATGAGTGCATGACTCACTCCCCTTTTGCCTCCCTGTCAGCCGCTCCAAGGGGGACCTCTTGCCGCCCCTGCCGCGCATGCACCTGTGTGTGCAGCCCCCCTCTCGCGGCTCGCGCCCCTGCAATGCCCTTGTCACCCCCACCCGATGCCCTGTGTAGCTGCCGCTGACGTGGCGACACCTGCGGTATGCGGCCATGGGCCCGCCAGTTTTTCGGCCCGGCCAGGTGCGACATGCGCGCGCACACGTGTGTGCGCTCGTGTTTGTGCGTGAGTGTGTGTGTGTGTGTGTGTGTGTGTGTGTGTTTATGTGTGTGCGCGTGCGCGTGTGCGTGTGTTTGTTTGTGTGCGTGCGTGTGT